CTCCTAACCCCCAGGGCTAACAGCTGCTAGCACCCTGAGCTAAAGCTGCTAACACCCTGGGCTAACAGCTGCTAACACCCTGAGCTAACAGCTGCTAACACCCTGAGCTAAAGCTGCTAATACTTTGAGCTAACAGCTGCTTTCACCCTGAGCTAAAGCTGCTAACACCCTGAGCTAACAGCTGCTAACACCCTGAGCTAAAGCCGCTAACACCCTGAGCTAAAGCTGCTAACATCCTGAGCTAACAGCTGCTAACACTCTGAAACTTGAACAGAACCTTCAGAGGGTCCGGCTCAGCGTTTAAGCTAGTTCTGAAAAGCAAGAACCGGTCCAGAACCGGTCCAGAAGCGGCCCGCGGACCAGAGGAGAAACTCACTCCACACTGCAGCCTGAGCGGCTCAGAGTCGCTGGTGAAGGAGACGCAGGCGATGGGATCGGGATGCTCGCCGTTGTTTATCTGAGCCAGGACGCAATTCTGATGGACCTGAACCTCGGCGCCCATCATGGCCGCCGCCACGGCTCTGTCCACGGCCCTGTCCGAGAAAGGGGCGGGGCGGGTCGCAGGGGGTGGCAGGACCAGGTGGATCCGGGATCCCTGGACACCGAGGGAGAGCAGGGTCTGAACGGTGACGTAGGCGTCCAGGGTGTTTCCGTAGACAACGGCGTTATCTGAGGTCAGAGGTCAAACATCGGGGACAGACGAATCATTTCTTCCTCAGATCAGTAATTATTAGTTATCGCTAATCAATACATCTGAAGGAAGGAAGCAGCACGGAGGACAGGATGTTTCGCCGTTTAGCTGTGCTGCTAACGATCCGGCTGTTAGCTACAGCATCGATATCATGCACTTTAAAAACGGATTTAATGGTTTAATGCATCTTTGGATTTATTTTTAATATTGAATAAAAAAGCCTAAAAAATCTGCAGAATGAACCATTTTTAAATCCAATTAATCATCAGGATAATCAATAACTAAGCATTAACTTCAGACGGTCTAGTTAAATCCCAGACGCCACGGTGCTGAACCAGAGCACAGCGTCACCATGGCAACCACAGAGCGTTTTATTGAAACATTTAGAAACATTTGAGCAGGAAGTTTTTCTTTTGGGAACAGAGGCGTTGAAGCTGCTGCTGTCATGACTCCGATCAGCCAATCAGAGAGCATCATTCCTTCAGACTGATGAGTCTGGAAGCGGCGCCGCATTCACACAGCTCAGCGCTTCCCGCTGCTCATGCTGGGAACCAGCAACTCACCCTGCAGGTCCACAAAGTTCTCCTGCAACCAGCGGCGGGCGGCAACGCCGTCATGGAGGTCGCTGATGGTCAGCAGGTTGGCGGGGACGGGCCCCGTGTATCTGCGGCAGAACCAATCAGGATCCAGCTGGCTGTTGGTGACCGGCTGGGAAACATCAACTCCGGTGGGGCAGGGAAGCTGCAACGGCAACCGGCTGGTCAGGCAACGAGAAACATGGCAACAAAAACCTCCTGAACCGAATAAAGCTGCTGCTTCAGGACAGACTGGGAGCCTTGAAGCATGTCCAGTATGATCAGGGGGAGAGCTGGAGGACAATAATATTAATATTATTAATATTCATCATCTGGTTCTCCACTAAATACGCTCACAATAAAGTCATTTCTGCCTGAGGGCTTCCAATGGTGGCCTACAGGTGGCGCTATGCTGAAAAAACAGGAAAACTCCAAAACAAATAAAACTGAAAAATTACGGAGCCCTCTAAGGGACATGGGGAAAATGTTTCTTTTGCGTTTCCTCGCAGTATGTTTACTACAATATTTGCTGTTGATTGAAAATCAATTTATTCACTGCATGTTTGTTTGTGTAGGTTGGCATGGAAACGACCCTTTAACCATTCAGAACTGTCAGATGATTTATGATCCCGCGATAATAACGCAGGAATAGTCCAAATAGTTTGGATGCATTTTTTATTCCTTTCCTACTTATGGAAAGTTTCTGTTTATATCAGAGGTTTGTGGTGCATTTCTATCCTGAAGAAAAAGATATAAAACAGCAAGACATTAAGAAACATGGAAAAGCCTTATGAAAACCTCATATAATAGCAGAAAGTGTGATGGCCACCGTAAGAGAGGCTTACAGTGTTCAGTCACAGCCCATGAACTGATCAGGACATCACTGCGAGGGAACGTAAAAGATAAAAATTTCCCCATGTCCGTAAAAAATGATACAGCTGCAAAAAAATTAAAGCAAAAAATGCAGCAAGCAGCAAAACCAACAGAAACTTTGGAACTGGCTCCACTGGACGTCAGTCCTCCAGACCACCAGGGGGAGCCACCTGTTACATCATCTGGGACCAGACTCAGGAAAGACAGGATGTGAGGAAGGAAGAAAAGGTTTCACTGTGCTTCATGTCTTTTTCCGGCTCCAGTCTGCCCCTAGCGGTCTAGCAGAGCCACTTTGCAGCTTTTAATACTCGCTGTTGTTTCTCTATTTATGATATTTTTGCTCTTTTGTGTCTATTTCTGCTTGCAGTGTTTTCTGTTGTGTTTGTGCGTTTTCCCAGCGTGTCAGTTTCTAAGCAGCCAATATGCTCAGAGCTGCAAACTGTAACCAACTGACTTCTTCTGTGGTTTAAAATACCACAGAAGAAGTCGGCAGTTTTGCCTACTTTAGGTCAGGGTTGATTTTGAGTTCCCATGTTTCCCAGCAGCCCCAGCAGAATGCTGGTTCCTGTGGTTCCTGTGGTTCCTGTGGACCGGCGCCCGGCTCACCCGGTACTGCAGGCCTGTACAGAGGACCAGGAAGTCGTAGGCCACCTTCTGCCCATCTGACACCAGGACGTATTTGGATTTCCTGTCGATCCTCACAATCTTCCCCTCCACCACGCGGGTGCAGGACAGCAAGAAGGTCTGGGCCAGGTCTCTGCTGCTGAAGACGTGGCTGCAGGACACGGCAGGAAGTCACTGTGACGTCACTTCCTGCCTCAGAAGGCTGCAGGAATAAAACTGAACTGGAACATCTCTGCATGCAGCACCTGGTGGACAGGAAGCCGACATCCTCATGGTCGTAGTTTCCAGGGAAACCGTGAGTGGAGATGAGGGTGAGATTGTTGAACCGCAGATGAGAGCTGGAAGAGGACAAGCAGAACAGAACCGGGTCCAAATGAAGCAATGAGACATTCAGAGTCCTCACTCTGAGACCAGAAGCAAAAACAATACAGCAGAAATTCTGACTAATTAATATTTATTAGTGCTGAGACTCCATGTTTAGCATCGACATGCTAACTTTGTTAGCACAAGTCTCTTTCAGCGTCCGATCAGATCAGTTAAGAGCAGAAATGATCCGATAGAAGCAGCTTCCTCACTGCTGGTAGCGGATGTAGCAGCGCATCAGATTTACAGTCGTACCAGAAACACAACAACACAAAGGTTCCGGTGGGAACAAATCTCTGATTAAATATGTTAAAATGTGAATAAGAAAATCTTTGATGGAAAAATGTCTGAATGATTAGCTAACATTTACTGCAGTCCAGACGTTGTTCTGGCTCCAGTGGTTCCTGTCCAACATGAGACGATGCTGAGGATCACCATCAGCTCGGCTGCCTGGTTCTGGTCTGGACTTCCAGAACCAGGATCTGTCCTCTGCAGGTTACACCAAGTCTGATGTCAACCTGTCCTGTAAACCAGGAAGTCGTCTGCCGCCTCCATTAGGGTTGTCATGGAAACGATCCATGACAACCCTGACGGAGGCGGCGCTAGAAGCGGCTCTGGACGGCCCGATGGCTGCCGGTCCGATCGGCGCCACCAGGCTCTGCAGGAGGAGCCGCAGCAGAACCGCTTCTGTTTGGTTCCATCTGCGGGTTCATTCTGAAACAGAACCAGATGGGTTCTGTTATCAGGCGGCCCGCAGCCTGACCGCAGCAGGCCGAGCGGCTCCTTATCTGAGCGACCCGACCCGGTGATGAGGTTTGGGTGGAGCTGATAAGGCCCGGCGGGCCGGCCTGACCCGCATCGGCAGAACTCTAACTGCCTCTTCAGCCTCATTAGAGGCGGCAAACAGCTGCTCCTCATCCTCACCCTGATACCGGACGGCGGTATCATGGTTGCCTAGCAACTATCTGCAGCCGCAGCAACTTGCTGCCCCTGCTGCGGCGCCGCTTCACCTGCTGCAGCATCAACCTGCTCCTAAATCTGTGCTAAAGCTTTAAACGGACCTAAAACATTCGACCCGACCTGACCCGGTCACCAGAAGGAACCGGGTTCTGGTTCTGGTATGAACAGAAACCTGAAACTCACCTGAAGCTGAGCTCCTCCAGCAGGGACAGGCCGGTGTCTGAAGCCCCCACCACCACGATGCTGGCGTTCACCCTGACCTTCAGCTCCAAGGTCAACTTCCTACTGATCAGGCTGAGCGCGAACGGCGCCTGGAGGGGACAGAGAGGACAGCGTCTGGACCTGGTTCTGGTCCGGCTGGTGTACTGAAGCCTCTGCAGGCTGGGAGATAAAAACTGATTTCTGCTCAACATGAGAGCCGATTGATAACGCTCCATTAGCCGTTCTGGTCAGAAACACGTTTCTGCTGGTTGGACACAGATTTAGTGTCCTTGTCTGTGGTTGGACTTAGAGGGAGCCGCCGTTCACCCATCACACCTGACAGAATGACGTTAGCAACGCAGAGTCCCCAGGCTGGGTTACAGCAACATGCTAGTTAGCCAATGATCATGCTAACACGCTAACTTCAACCATGCTGACCCCATCATGTATCGGTAGAACCGATCAGAACTTGGTCCAAACATCACCACCTTTAGGTCTCTGTTAAATGAACCAATGATTCTTTTATTTTGAAAGTTTTCCACTGTAGTTTCCTTTCTGGTAGCAGTTTGTAGATTAATAAGCATGTTTTTGATTTGCTGTTATTACTGAGATGAAGACAGATTTTAGAGCAGAGGCAGCAATGGCACTTCCTGATTGGCTGCTGCAGGGCGGCCAATGAAATGCCTGCATGTTTCCATGTGATCTGCAGGAATGAAGGTGAGGAGATGATCAAAACTGATGTCTCATCTGCATGTGAGGTGGAGCAGCTGCTGCTATTCAGAGGAGCGGGTGGTGTAAATCATCCTGAGGAAGAGGAGGCTGAGACAAAGCTCAGGATGAAGCTCTTATCAGCAGCTCTGCGTCACAGAGACGACCGCTTGGCGTTCTGGGCCTGAGTGACGTGAGCAGGGCCTGCATGGTGACGCCTGAATGTGTGGTAAATATTTAAAGGACAATAAAATAAATCAAAGCTGCAGAGACATCAGCTGGTGAGGAAGATTAGAGGAGACAAAGAGACACGTTTAAATATCAGGAAAAAGGTTTAATCTAGACCATTACAGACCACACAGTTCAGTCTACAGGCAGGAAATGACTCCAGTTCATTGAGCAGGACCTGCTCTGGAGCGGCAGGGGACTAAGAAGCTAGCAGTGCTAACCCTGAAACACTAAAAATAAATGTTAGATGTGCTAACCCTAAGGAACTAAAAATAGTCACTAATTCTGCTAATGCTAATCGCTATTCCATCCATCCATCCATTTTCTGTACAACCTATTCCAACATGTTAATTAGATGAAGATGACACTAAATTCAATCATGAACATGAACAATTATTTATGTGAATTTCTGTGTATTTGTTTAGTTCCTACCTGTCGTTTGCTCATTATTCTGTTGTATTATTCTGTAAATTAATAAAGTTTTATATACTTAACATTTGATTAATGAAATTTCTTGGGAATAGAAAAAGTGAGAATATGAGGAGAGGAAGCATAACTGTTGCATAAACAGTCTTCAACCCCTTCAAAATAAGAGCATGATAATAAACATCTACCTGAAAAATTCTTAATAGATAACCAAAGCCTGAACATTGAACTGTATCAAACTGGAATTTTACAAAGCAACATTTAGGATTTATCAGAAAAAATAAATGCTAAGCTAAGTGTGCTAATCGAAACAAGCTACCAGAAGTTGTGCTGAGAAGTCACATGACTGTGTTGCACCAATGTGGAGCCTTTTAGATAAATCTCAGATCCTGAGGATGAAGGTGAAGCTGCAGAAGCTGCTGCAGGTTCTGATGAAGGAACCAGAACCAGAACTCCCGCTCAGCATCACCTGTCACCAGGCAGATTAAGAGCTTTTCATTTCCTGGTTTTTAACCCTAAGCAGGTGTGGCGCCCCTGGTGGCTGCTGCCCGGCCCACCTGTTCCTCTGTGATCCTGCGGGACGGGGCGTTGATGCCGAGCTCCTGCAGTGGGTACTCCACCTGCTGGCGAGGCCGGACCGGCACCGAGCAGTTCAGGATGAACTCCAGAGGGTGGAAGCAGGAGGTCTGAGGGGAGGGGCAAAGGTCAACCATGTTCAGAGAGGAGGTCAGGCTGGCCCGGTTCTGGTCCGCTCACCTGCTCTCCCAGCAGCGGTGAGTAGGCCCGGTGGTACAGGCAGGACCGTTGGGCCAGCCGCAGCACCTCCTTCAGCCAGTGCCGGGTCACATGGTAGCAGCAGGGCTTCAGCAGGAAGTGCAGCATGTGAGCGTGCTCCTGGTAGCCATGGCGACCAAAGCTGATGAAGCTGTCGATGTCGTAGCGAGCTCGGAGGTACTCCACGTCCTGGAAGACGCGGCGTGCGGTGAGAAGGGGGCGACGGCGCGTCCCGCATGCGGCAGAGGGAGCGGGGCTACCTGTTCGTCCCTGATGATCGTCACGCCGACCAGCTGCCGCTCCACCACAACCACGAAGGCCTGCAGAGGAACACCATCCTGACAGGAAGCACACACCTGATCAGGGCAGGAGGCACTGCAGCTCCGTTTCACCACGCTAAACTGAGACGAAGGGTTCTATCTTTGTTTTAACAAATAAAATATTTAAATTGTTTAACTCTGCAATATTTGGCCTTGCGAGGATTTGCTGATTTTGCATGGATGTCCACAATAGTTCACAAGAAACTGGAGGGACTGAATAATATAATTTGGTAGTAAACAGACAAAAACTGCATTGATTTGATTGACGACATAATGGTTAAGGAGTTAATGCTTAGTCAAGAATCTAGAGGGCCGCATAAAAAGCTGTGGTGGGCCAGATTTGGCCCATGGGCCTTGAGTTTGACACACGTGGGTTAGAGTATAAAACCATCTCACTCATACACGCCCCCCGGTGGTCAGGAGGTGCACTACTGAGCATTGATCCATACTTAGAAAGTGACTTCTTCAGAAAAAAGTCGCTAGATTTGTTGTTTCTATGAGTTTATCCAGACTCACCGGGTCGCTGTGGGTCCGGTAGAAAGAGTCCAGATCCTCCAGAACCGAACAGGTGAGATTCAAACTGTTCAGCAGATCAGAAACAGCTTCTCTGTCTTCAGGCACTGCCTGCCTCACATCCACAGTCCTTCAACAGAGACAAAATGGTTTCCACTGGAACACTGCTTATGGACCGCCAGAATCTGCTTCTAGCCACCACAATCTACATCTGGTGGGTAGATTCTGGTTTACCCACCAGATTCTGTACACCAGAATGTACATTCAATCATCAGAATCTGCATCCAACCGCCAGAATGCAATCCTTCAAATCTGCTTCCGGACCATCAGAATCTGCTTCCGGACCGTTAAAATCTGCTTCCGGACCCAGCGCCTACCTGAACCTGGATCTATGGGTGATGTAGAGGCTGGTGAGTTGCAGGCTGCTAGGACGGGACCGCACCAGAACAAAGTTCTGTAACCACGGCGACTCTGGACTTGCAGACGGAACGAAGATCAGGCAATATTCCAGGTCCTGCAGGAAGCAGAGAGTCAGCATGGAATAATGATCCAGGTTGTGTGTTGGTCAGCAGGAATCTGCTGTGGAAAAGGGAAACTAAAACATTTAAAACACCCAGAGTGAAACTTCCAGGTAATTGAACCCTGAGAACATGGTTCTGTTGGTTCTAATTGGTCTCCAGTTCTGTGGTCATACTATCTTGAATTTGATGAGTAAACTGCAAATACACAAAATAATACTAAGTATTTCTGTCTAGTAATTCCTAATATTGATGAAAAAGTTGTAGTTCCCCTAGTAGATAATTTCACTTATTAACATGGGAAAGTGTCTGTTATAAGTTAAAAAAATCTGGTTCTTTAAATCAATATTTGGTGATTACAGGCTTAAAACAAGATTGTGTCCTTTTCTGAAAAGGGTCCCAGGTTTAATACTTACCAGGAAGTGCAGGAACATGTATGGCAGACCGTCTGTTGATCTGTGGACAGAAGAAGAAGTTAAGTGAGGTTGGAGCCAAGCTGAGCAGAGGAACAACTGGAGGAGCAATCTGCTGCTTCTGGCGCTCCGCGGCTCTCCGCTGGGCTCTGCGGCGCCGGGTCTCTGTGGGAGGTGGCGGGGCCGGCGGCGGGCCCCCTGTGGGGAACAGCTGGGAGGTGAGCCGCGCCGCGGGAGCCAGGTAACACTACCACACTACCAGCAGATGACTGGTGCTGGACGGCTGCCACCGCTGCTGCCAAGCTTCAGCTGCAACACGGAGTGGCTCAGGATGGACAGCAGGAACGATGTCCACTGGGACTGGACAGGACCAGAACCAGAACCAGTTCTGGTTCCACAACACACTCCATTTTTATTATGATGTCACAGAGGAAGTCAGGATGGGGAGATGACAGGAAGCTACCCGGGAAGGGCCAAAGGTCATCCCAAGACCACCTGAAGTCCACCAGACAGAAAACAGGTCAAAGGTCACGACTGAACCAAGCAGCTCAGCACGGTGGTGAAGGAGAGTCAAAGTCCAAATCATGCAGCAGCTCTTCAGAGAGCTGAAGCAATGTTGGACGAAAGTGTTGGACCAGAACTCCTACAGGAGGTTCTGATGGGTCAGTAGGTTCTGATCCGCTGCTCCAGAAGCCAACAGAACCGGGACAAGACAGGAAAGTTAAAGTAGATCCTGACTGTGAACAGACTGGTCAGAACTTCTCCATGAACCAGTCAGAACCAGTCCGACCCAGTGTTCCCAGTTCCTTCCATGGTGTCAGGTAAAGGTCCCAGCCTGAGCAGATGTTTTTCCAGCTGCAGGAAACAGGAAGTGGGCGTGGTTCTGGTTCTCATGGACGGCGTTTACCGGGTCTGGTGGTCCTCGTCGGATATGAAGTGCTGAATGCAGAAGGAGTTGGACTTCCTGGGAGTCTGGTGGCTCGGTTCTCCTTCCTCCTCCACCTCTTCCTCCTACCATCACAGGGACAGACATGGTTCTGGTTCTGGTCCAGCTGAATGCGGCTGTGTAAAGTGAGTGGGGATTAAAGTACCTTCTCTGGTACTTTGTGTTTGTAGAATCCATCAAACTCCCTGAGGTTAAAATGCTCCAGAAGTTTCTGGTCGTTAGGAGACGAGGTGGCAGCGACGAAGCCAACGACACGTCCTTCATCCTGTGGAAGGAAAACCTCACTTCACTCCATAGTAAACATCTGAACTGTGGTCAGTTAGGCTGAATCAGCAACACATTTAGCAAAACTCAACAAACTGAAAACAGGAAGCAACAACCTGGTCCAAAGAATTTCTTCCTGAGAAGCAAACTGTAAAGGTCGGTGTGTAGGGACAGATTTGACACAGTTGAGGGTGCTATACTATGCATGCTACAACTAATACAATAACAAAGTGGTTGAAGTTAGCACTTTAGCATTGACTTCCACTAAATAACAGGCTAGGGCAGTGCTTTAGATTTAGCTTTAGCTTCCACTAAAGCCATGTTGGTGTAGTGCTTTATCTTTAGCGTTAGCATTAGCTTAGGGGTAGGTTAGTGCCATGTTTATCTCTAGCTTCCACTAAATACCACTAAACGCCATGTTGGTGTAATGCTTTAGCATTAGTGGAACTGCTGGTTATAATAGCTGCCCTTGTTATATAAACATTGATAAATCCTCGCAGGTATTTCTGAAGGTATTCCACACAGGAATCCCCAGACGGTGGTGAATCCTGGAGGGTCGGACAGGCTGAGGTGAAGCAGATTGTGTGTTGTTGGTCTCAGCAGAGCTAACAGTTTTTATTCATTGCAGTTTCACTTGAACAGAATGAATGGTTGTGTTTGTTTCTGGTTTCAGTTAAACTGTGTTTGTTCTCCTTCCAGTGATGTTCCTCAGTATCCAGAAATGTTACTCAGGAAAGAGCAGCCATAGTTTATAATGATATTCAGGGTTTCAGGGGCACTAGGGCAGTCCTTTAGCGGCCCACTGTTTTTGTGTTAAAAGTTACAACAATTCTAATATGCACGAGCAGGCATCATAATTTGGGAACTTATGCCTCGTTCAGTGCGTCGACTACGACCCTAGCTTAATCTGTCTTTACTGGTAGTGGTGTATAAAAAGCCCAATTTTAAAATAAGCAAACTATGCTTAGCCTGGTGGGAGGGACAAGTAAAGACTGATGGCCCGCCAGGCTTATAATCCTCTGGGGGAAACCCTGATATTACTTCAGCAAAAATAAAAAGTACTGTGCTGTAAAAGTAAATTTTTCCATGAAGTTACTCAAGTAACTGAACTAGTTACTTTAGTTACTTCCTTCCTCTGCAGCTCAGTTAGTATCACAAACAATGAAATATTGTTGCTTTGTTTTAGTCTCATCCTCCATGCTCCTCATGTTTGGAGGTTTGGCCGAGCCTCAGCTCATCTGTACCATATGTTACCATGGCAACCAGATGCAGTGGGGGGTGGTCCAGAACCGGTCCAGAACTGGTCGTGAAGGAACCAACCCAACAGCAGAGGCTGACCAGGACAAGGACAGACCTGGAGGACGGCAGCATGGCTCCTCTGGTGCTGGTACTCGATGACGTCTATCAGAGCGTAGGGCTGCAGAGGGATGGAGCACTCTGTCGTCTGCTTGTTCACGATCATCATGATGTCATCGTAATCTGCAACCCTGGAAGACAAAACGAGCCGAGCTCAGAGCAGCAGAAACAAGGTTCTGGTTCTGGAGAACTCATCGGACTGACTTCCTGTCAGACTGATGAGTTCACCGGAGAAGACCAACAGGTGAAGTCTCCTCAGACTCCATGAGCCTGAGAATCATTAGAGGTCAGCTGCTGCTGAAGCAACTACAAGCTGAAAATCAGAGAGCTAACTAAATGTTAGCAAGCTAAACAGCCTGGTTGACAAACAAAACATTTAGCTTTGAGCAAACAAAACATTTAGCTTGGAGCTATATATTTAGCTCGCCACCAACATTTATTTGCCAAGCTAAATAACCTAAATATATAGTTTATAAATATAAACTGTATAGTTAGGCTATTTAGCTTACCAAGTAAATATTTAACTAAAAGCTAAATAACCGTCAATCCAAATTAATATTTAGTTTGAGCTAAATATTTAAATTCAGACTAAATATTTAATTAACAAGCTAGATATGTAAACTAAATAGTTTGAAACTAAATAACCAAGATAAATGATACCTGTGATAGTTGTTGTTCTCACATATTTTATAGCCCACAACCTCTGACTAAAGCCGGTTAGCGCGTTGCTAACATGTAAACAATGCCGGTTCCGGTTTGCGGCGGAAGTCGCGCCCGTAATTCACGCAAAGCCTCATGGGGGATAGGAATAAGTTGGATAGGTAATAAACTAAATAACTTGAACATAAATATTTAACTTTGAATGTCCAAACTACATACTTAGCTTCCTAACTTAATATTTTGTTGAGACTGTGACATTTCTAAATCAATAAAATGGTGAAAATATGACTTAAAAAAAATAACCACTATTTTATTATTGTTAATTTTTGACTGTGAGACTTAACAAACTGCAGATCATAAAGATCAACCAGGACCCTTCTCATATTACTCAGATATCTGTTTAATTTTAACATCTCTAGAAGTAGAAAGGTCATCCCTCTGTCAGACAGCGCCCCCTGCTGGTCACCCAAACATTTTACTGACAGTTTCCAAACCAGCTTAGAGTTCTGCTATTAGTTCTGGAGCTCTGGTCCATCAGGAAGGATCTGATCCAGCATGTTGGAGAAAACATGCTGTTCACAGAGCGAATAGCAGGAAGGAAAGTTTGGTGGAAGGACAAAGGAGAAAACTACAGCAATACCCAGAACATTGATTACACCAGGACCGGATAGCATGCTAAACCTGTTAAATCCTCTCACTAGCGCCTCCTGCCACCTAGTGGCAGACAGAGAGACCTGCTTCGGGGCTGACATAGGGAGCTGCCGGTTCTGGTTCTGGTGCTGAAGGTCCAGATGGGGAGCTCACCGGGCTCGGCGGACGTGCAGCCGCTTGCAGTGATCCTCCCGTCTGCAGATCCGAGCCGAACACGGCGCCTCGCTGTCGGCTTCCCACTGCAGCAGCTGGAACGTCTCCTCCAGAACCGGTTCTGCTCACAGAACGGGTCGTCAGGGAGGGAGGGCACGAAAGCAGAACTCAAGCCGGGCTGGGTCAGCAGCCGGTCTCACCTAGAGGACACTGGTCCGGGCAGAGCAGCAGGACGTGCTCCAGGTCCGAAGTGATGCTGAAGGCGGTTCTGTAGGAAGACCAGGAAGGTTCTGGTGACCCAGGACTGCTCACAGTCTGGTTCTGGTTCTGGTTCTGCCTACCTGAGGATCTTCTCCAGGCTGGATCCAGCCACTCTGGGCTCAGACACGAACAAATGCAGGAACAGAGAGTTCAGCGGCTGCAGAGGAGAAACAGGCAGAACATTATGACCACCTGAACCGATCCTGACCCGGTTCTCACTCATAGTGGTGAGAGGCGCCCTGACTGCACAATATTACCCACAGTGCATCTGGCGGCGGGCCAGTGTGAGCGCAGGAAGGCCTCCCAGGCATCGTGGCTGACCACGGCGGCGGCGGCGGCGGGGGGGAGGTCGCTGAAGGAGGCGTGAGCCACAACGTCGCCCGACTGGCCGCCCACCGTCAGGGAAAGGTTGGCCTTCTCCCTGCAGGGACACAAATCCTTTAATAATAATGATGTTTGATCTTTGTAGCATCTGCAGCCGAAAATTATTTGAACATCAACATGTGAAACGCTCAGGCCTTTCTGCTGCGCTCAACATTAACATACAGCTGATCTGGATATTAATATTGATTAGCTGATTAATAACTGGATAAGGTATTTCAGAAAAGATTCATATCCAGAATGTGAAGCTGCACCAGAGCAGTTCTGGTACAACAGATTTACAAAGTTTTCATCTTTCATGCTAAATACTTTTATTTTTTTACAGTTTTGCCTTAATTATGTT